TTCTCGACTCGCACTCCGCTGGGTTTTGGCAAAGGAGCATCAAGAAATTTTCTGAGCGATGGAGACAAGTGGTGGACACTCATGGTAGATATAAGACCGGTCAGGAGTTGTAACAAAAAAGATAAAATTAAAATCAAAAATTTGAAAAAGTGTTGCAGGACTTTCTTTCCAACCTAATAGTCAAACTCGCAGCCGTGGGGGGAGGCGATTGGGTCATGACGGTATATGGATTACGGAACCGATCAAGGTTGAAACTGATTATTTATTCAACATCAATCGTGGCAAACTTTTATGACTACAGGGACTGATTTGTCACAGGGAATTTGTCACAGTATCAGGTATTTGTCTCACACTTTCAGCCCCTTAAGCCCATGTCTTGGCCCTTGTAATGTCGCGAAGAGATTTTTTAGGGAGAACTATTCGCTCTTCTCATCACTTTCCTACTTTGTGCCGGCACACATAACAGTGACTGTTTTAATGTTGGGTCTCTTCCTCTGTTAACGCGCAGTTTCGGCGTGTGAGTGTTCCACAAAAGAATGGCTGGTAGGAAGGCTCAATTTTGGCCGCTCAGCAGGCGATCTCGAACCCTCACTCTCACTTACGGGCAAGTGCAGCTACAAGTCCTCACGTTGATTGCTTGTCAGCGGCACTTGCGGCCGGCAAGTGAGAGGTGAGGGTTCGAGTACCGTCTTGGGCAAGAGTTTTGTCTTTAACCCAGCATTCTTGTGGAAGTTTCGATCGTGGAAAAGTGTCGTACAGCTATCATCCGTCATCAACGCGCATCTGGCGCCATTCTAACCAGCTGTAGGTTTCGCAAGCCGGAAATTCCTGTAGTTCGACCCCTGAGCTGCGTTACAGTGTAAATATTTATAAATTCGCGTTGTGTTTTGACACGAACGTAATTTTTGTCACCGTATACCGTGCATTCTGCATTTGATTTTTGCTCTCCTGAGAAATTTCATCGTGTGCATTACTGCATGGGGAAAAATGAGCTTCAGCAACTGCAAATTTTAAAACGAAAGCTTTTTAATACGCAGCAGCAGAAGAAAATCAGCTTTTAAAGAGAATAATTCACAAAGGTGAAAAAAGTGGGCGGAAAGATGAGGAAAAAAGCGTTTCTGTAATTTAATCTACATGCCCAATGCTGATGGATAATCGGCTTAATGACGAAGGCGCAGCACGCTGTCTGTAAGGATTCATAACCCTGTGAGGGGAATGTTGCCTGTGCTCATTAAGCTCGAGTTTATTTAAAAAAAAGAGTGGTTAAGTGAGGATGCTTTGCAACTGCACCTTCCAAAGAGGGTTCCCATTCCTGGACGAATCTTGGACCTGGTGTGATATTTTTGATTTCCTGACAACACAAACTGGTAGGAAATTCATCTGGAATAACAAAAACACTAAATCTCATGCGGTTATCCCTCCCGCCAATACTTGACTCTAACCGCAATCAAATGAACATCGTTATTTTACGAACAATCGACTATGCTTTTTGTTATTCTTTCTATTCTTTTTCTAAAAGTGGTGGGGGTCGCCCCACGAACTTTCAACGGGGTGTCGAATCCTGAAGCGTAGTGGTTTAGAAAACTTTACGCGGGTTTGTACTTCCCTTTCCCCGAAGCACCTTTTCCCTGCACCCTGCTAGTAGCTCATCAGGAATTTTAGCCGACTTCTAGTCGGTCAAAGCATGCACCTTGTGGGACGTGCTTCAGAATTTCTCAAATCCTTTTTATATTATGTCGGACGGCGGGCGGAAACAAAACGCAGCTCTTTCCGTTTGGAACCGTTTTGGTGGCATGCTTCGGCGCTATGTGCCTCGGGGGGGGGGGGGCAGTCACCGCGCGCGGCTGTGCGGCAACAGGAAATTCGAACATTCCAGCTTCTCACGCATGTCATGTGACTGCCCTCACCCCCAACCCCCCTGAATTGGCTACACTCCCCCTGGCTCACGAATTTCCTGTTGCCGCAAGAGCGCGCGCGGCGACTGGCCCCCCCCCCCCGAGGCACATTGCGCCCATGCTTCTCTGTCCGGCTGCATGAAATCCTCACCGTCGGCGCGGGCGCGTTCGCGTTTGGGTAACATCACGCGTCGGCGACGGGCGAGTAGGGAGGGCCGGCGTATTTCGCCCAAAACGTTAATACACGTTATGTCCGAGATCCCATCGCATATACTAAAGCTGTGCTATAAGTACAAGGAATGTTAGAATCCAACCGGAATGAACGTAAATTTGGTATACCCAATATTCAAACTCAGTGTACTGCTAAAAACATGCACATGAAAGCCCCAATTTTTTCCAAATAGCCCTATTCCTAGTGCGAGAATGGTCCTGTGCGTAACGCAGTCATTTCGCAAGTGGCCCAACTGATTGAACAACTTTTATAGTGCCAGAAATGAAGCGCTATTTGAGCGAAGTGGAACGGCGCTGTCTCTCCGCTTGCTGGTCCTCCCTTCGAGCCTGCCGCAACTGCGACGTCATGTTGACGTCACCAGCATGCGCTCGCGTCCGCGCCGCCTGTGAGCTTTTTTCCTCCCCTCCTCTCTCCCATCCACTTTGAAGTGGAATTCAACTGCTTGGTTTCAAAAATATAGGTCATTTCGTAAAGAAATAATAATGTAAGATCGTGAGAGAGTTGAGACATAGTTAAAATGTTGTACTATAAATTCAATTTCAATTCAATTAGTATATAGTTATTAAATTCAGTCATGACTCGCATTCGAATATTATATGGATGTAATTTCGAAACATTTGCAGGTACTAGCCACGCACTTCCAGCCGTGGTACGTGACGTTCTATTACGAACCGTCGTCCTACGGAATGTTGGCTGAAGACTTCGCCCTTTATCTCTCGGGAGGACAATCCACAATGTTTCTTGTATACCACTTAGCGGCAATTATTCCTCCTACTCATATTCTATACGTGAGTTTCTTTTCTTTGGATTGGGAAATAATCAATTTTTCGAAGAAGTGCTGAAAGAGAAAGCCTTCAGCGTGAGACAGGTGCTTTAGTTTAGCGCCACGCATTCGATTTTTGCACAGAGTGCTGTAGCTTTTGCATGTGCGCTCAAGTTTTTACCGCGTGTGTGAGCAGATCTGCATATGAAAATACGCCATTGGTTTTCCATCCTCAAGACCTGAGAAATTGGCATTAACGGCTACATGTGTAGATCTAAATCCCTTCCTCATGTTGTGTACATATTAGAAACGGCCGCTCCCTGTGCGGTCGACCGTCCACATAAAGGAAGCAATTACGATAAAGAGGGAGCGAATCGGGGGAGCATATGCACCACACGAAGCAGTTACTTGGCTGCCAAGAAAGCGAATTGTGGCGCTTTTAAAACGGCGAAAGGAAGCGCTGGTTGCTGAGCAGGACTTCGAAAGCGCTCCGCCCCCAAAAGCGATCCGCCCATAAGATTAGATCTTGATTTGGACGAGCTGCATGGCTAGCAGCGGCGCAAATGAAGCATCTCGATTAAAGCGTGATTTGGCAATGGTGCCATCAAACATGTTGCGGTGAACTCGCTCATAAACTCCACTTTCTGAATTGTTACCTGTTGATGAGTGAAAACCAAAACTGGCCTGAAACAGTGATTTTGCGTTGTTTCTGCAGCGTGAATTTTTCTGCTTTCTTCGCCACTGGCATACAATTGAGCACCAACACGTCACAATGAGCCCTTCTTGAATTTTCCGCAATCCCCGCCTTCAAAACCGATCCTCCTTCGTTAAACTATACTTATGATGTGGGAAACGTATTCAGGAGGCACAAAACTGGCTACGCCTTCCTAATGCGCTTATTAGGCAAAGCCACGGTTGTTGTGCGCATTGGTGCCAGGATGAAGAAAAACGGATACCCGACAGGAGGCCCTTCGCGCTGCAACAAAGCAGAGTCAGCGGATGAGTCGCAGCGTGTACCGTAGTGATTTCGCGTCAAGTTGAATAGAATGTACCCCATTCTACGTCTTACGTTGCACATCATGTGCTGCGACTGGTCCGCTTGCTGCGCGACGGGTTTTCCTGTCGGGTACCCTAAAAAATGACACATAAAAAGGTTAAAACCCAAATATGGACTCCTTCAAATGCTCATCGATTTCCGCACTGATGGTCTTTTATCGATGGTGCTCTCTCCAACGCCAACTAACCGCTAGATCGCTACAGTCAGACGGCGAGGGGTCACCTATCGGCGGGCATGCAATGGCCCGAGCGCCAGACTAGTGAGGCATACCTTCGCTCAAAGAGCACCTCGTTCCGCACCCTTAGGGAGACTGTCCGCCTTCTCAGGCATATTCTACCTTCTTGGTTGCCGATTTCATCGGGGAATCCTTTTCGAAGGGAAGCCGAATCATATTCGTTGCCCTTGCAGTCCGTCATTTCCTTTCATCAAGTGCCCATCAAATCACTGGCAATTGCTTACTACTTGAGGAATCTGTGCATATAAATTGGAAAATTTTACTTTCATCAATGGTTCAATTTTTCTTCATGTGAATAAAGATTCCCTCGTTCTAGGTGGACGATCATTATTCTCGTAAGAAGGCGACGTTCAGCTCAAAAAGCGAAAGCCACCATGCATATCTTGAATAGCCACATCGAAAGCAGGTGAGGGTTCTTCTCTATGAAATTTTTGATTCGGCACAATCCCAAGGGGCATAGGATGGGCTGGTAAAATTGGCTTTTTAAATTTTGTATACCCACCACCAGCCCCTTCGTTCTTCTATCTTGCCTTCCCCAGGCTTAACGAAAAATTGTTGGGTGAACTTTGAGTGTGACGTCTGGTGTCAGATTGAAATCATAGAAAAACGGAGATGTTGGCGAAGAGGGTGGTCCTGTGGAGACCACTCAAGAGGTAGAGGTTGTAAAATTGTGAATCACGAATGAACGGACAATCCATACTACTTATTGCTTTTTACAGGCTTCTTCTGCCGTGTGTCATCAACATGGTGGTGTTCATAGTCGGTCAGGTGGTGATCACTCACGGAACGGGTGAAGGAAATGGGCAGGATTCACTGTGATGCTCGTGTTCTGCACTAATTCTGCACTCAATCCTCTTCTTTTGCTCATCTGCTCAAAATCCATCAGGTTGGTCCATTTATTCAAGTCTTCGGTTGCTCTATGGTCTCCTCAAAGCGGTAGTTATGAGCGGTAGTGTTGGTACTGACTTGTTGGGGCGGTGAAGCCGCTTCGAGGTGTCACAGTTTTGCACGTAGATCGACTACGTAGGTTACGTTCATACTCGGCGATTTTGCAGCTCACTGCTAATTGGGAAAGTAGCCTGCGCTCGTCCCTGACGTTAGGTTTCAAATTTTCATTGCCGTTTTCAACCATCACCATCACTCACTTCCACGTCACCCCATCTTGAGTTGAAAACCACACGGAGCAGGCACTAGGCCGCTAAATGTTCATTAGCGGTGTAGCCAACATAAAATTTTTAAATGCTTTCCGACAGCTTACCTGTACATGCCATCGCACTGCTGGTACACCGGATACGCGACAGGAAGCGAGAGGGCAGAGACGCAGACGGGTCGGCGGACGAGTCGCACTGTAGTGATTTCGCGTCAAGTTGAATAGAAAGTATTATAGTACGTCCCAAATTACAGAGCACACGCTGCACTTGTCCGCTGACTCGTCTAGGTCTTCGCCTTCTTGTCGCGCGACGGGCCTCCTGTCGGGTACCCCTGGTGCACCACTAGTTTTACCCACCTACTCTGTTCTCTCTCAACGACGGGTTCACTAATTTGACGAGACACTCACAGGCGCTTTCTTTCATTTCTCTAGGCCATCCTCAAAGTCACCTCAAAAATAAAACTCGCCTTTAAAAGATTGCCTTTCCAGGAGACAAGTGCTGGCAGTTATTGGTCTGAGGCATATGAACTATACATCTGAAAAGTTCACATCTTTAATCTACAAGTGAGTCCCACTCGAGTTTTTTCACTTCACGAGCTACAAGGCTGAAAACGTCATATTTCAGGAACCCGCTGGCTATAAGAAGCAACACGAATATTATGATACCAAGTCCTGTGATGAGCGCTCAGGTTCAGATCTGTAGCAGCCCAACAAATTCCGCATCTTCCACACACGTGTAATCTCTATGTTGCGAGTTAGAAAGCATGGCGCGAAAGGGGGTGGGGGGCTCAAATGGATTATGCGGGGATTGAGTCTGTGAGAAAGTCTAGCTGCTTTAGCCTGGGTTACTTATTATGTGATGTTCATCGATCTTGCAAGAACAGCTGATTGATCCACCATCAGACCAGTTCCCACGAACTCCTTTTGACCATGCTTCATACACTTTTCAACCCGTGAGATATGTAGAATGAATGATCCGATTGCAGCAAGTCAACTAGTCACAGATTTCGCCATATCCTGATTTTCGGTTATTTTTTGTACAGGTGATTTTTTCACTTCACATTCGGGGTCTTTCCATTATCTCAATTCATGTGATAAATGTGCTGTATTAAAAGTTGATCTCATGCCATTTTCCTTTGTCAGACAATGTGATTGTATACAATAAATATTTTTAATGATGAAGTTGAATAGGTCATAGCATGCCGCTAAGAATACAGGAGCTGAGCCGCAGGAGTTGCTGCCGGAATCACACCCACAGTTCTAACTGAGAAACCAATTGAGGACGTGAAACGGCTTATCAAAGCGATTTAGGGTACCTTGAGAGAGCTTCTGAATGGTACTCGAAGAATGCTCTTTCTTCTGGTCATTCCTGTGGCCAAGCTTTTTTTGGAAAACTGTATAAATAAACCTTGCAGTGATACAAACCTCTTCACTCAAAAATTCATACCTTTCTTCAGAAGCGGTCTCATGAGATGGGATACTAAAATTTAAAAACTCCAAATTGTTTTCTTTCCAAAATAGTTCAACTGTTCAAAAAATCGTCGCGTTGTTCGGTTTTTTGTGCACACCCAGTTTTCATCATTCAATCGTTGATAACTTCATGCGAGAGTTTTTGTCAGTCAAACGTTCATAACTTCCTTCATTATTAACTTTTTGCAGATTTTCAAAGCTAATTAGAAACTAGAAGATTGACGCTTCTGAAAAAATATAAGATTTTTTAAATGACCACTCTTTCAAAAATCGTCCCGTTGTTCCGTTTTTTCGCTCAATGGCTTTGTTGGACCATCCTTTTGAAACGCAAGTTCTCAACCTTCAAATGGTCGTAAGTTTCCTCAAAGTCGGTACATTGAGAAGGTAAAGACTACTGAAAATCAGAGAGATCAGTAATATATCGCATCCTGAAAGAAACACCTTTGTTCTGCCATAGGTTTCTATAAGTGCTCTGGAGGTCAGTCAGCTGAATTCGCTGCACTTTCCTCCTCTTTGGTTTGTTTTGAAGGCATGGAAGTTTCTTGGAAGAATTTTTTCGCTTGTGCTCACTGGGACATGACGTCCTCTCGTAAGAAATCTCGCTCTAGGATGCGCCACAAAATCGCGTACGGTGCGTAGTCGAAGTGGTGCAACGTCCTCTTGCCACTTATCCAGGCCTTGGCGGGTTCTAGTTTTGAGGATCGTGCTTGAAGTTTTGACGCCCCTCCTCTTCCATTGGCAAATGGGACCCCCTTCGTTGTTCTTTGAGCGCAACGGGCGGTTGGTTGGGGGGGCGGTGGTGTGGGTGGGCGGGGGGGGGTGTTGGTGGGGTGGTTGACTTCGTGATCATAACTTGAAAATTAATCAGCAAAAATCAAGGACCATGGGTTTGGAACAAACGGCGGACAATTATTGCTCAACCCAAAACGAGGTTCTACTTTTACTTCGAAAACCTGAATCGAAATTGGGTGTATGGAGCTGATATATAGGAGCATGGCAGAACTATCTGGCAGTGAAAGTTTATCATTTCCACGTAGCTCTTCTTTTTTTCAAGTCGTTTTTCGCTTCTGCAAGTAAATGCACGAACTCCCTTTTCGAGGAGTCGCACATAACCTTGTTTCCTTCCAATTTGGCAGCGCTCGAAACTACGCTTCTTATCACACTGGTAGCAAGGTAGGCGGTTGAACAGATTCGAGCAGGTGCGGCCTTGTATTAGATGGCATAATACATGTACGTAGAAATTGAGCTAAACCTTTCAAAGCGCAAAGTTGAGCTCAACGTTCCAAATTCAGAAAGTATCGCAAAACGTGCAACACGATAGATTGGGATGGAATTGGTGAGCTGAAAGTTCTAACCATAAGTGTGAATTCCAGTCCTAACAACGGCATTCCGAAACACAATCAGAAGAGTCCACGATAACAAAATTTGTGAAAGAGTTTTCCCTGGTTTCTTGTGAATATAGGATTTTAAGCCCTTCTTGCATTTGCTATCCTTACTTGCTATAATATATTCATGCTGCCCCACCCAATGTGTTGAATAGGATCCCTGATGGTCTTCTATACTACAAAATGGACGCTGGTGAAAACGGCAGCCGAACAGCAAAAAAGAAGCGATGTCTCCCGTGGACAGGGTCAAGTGTGCGCTAAGGAATCCTCGACACGTCCACAGAGGGGGTTTGGCCCGTTGGGAGAAAGGAGTCAGGCCATATCGGTGCAGTAGGATCAATGTCAGAGGAAAAACATCAAGGCGTGATCCATGCTGCGCATGGTTGGCCACAAGATTTTAAATAACGATATTATTCCGCCCACATAAGAATTTTCGTAGTCAAAGGGATTCGCGTAGTGATTCTACGCTACCTAAGTGATTTATTACGACAAGGCTAAAGAATTCAAATTCACAAGTTCCGGCGATATTTTATCTTTCAAATGAGTCCACGAATCTGAAGGGATGTGAAGCACACGGCGCGTCCCAGAGTGGGCCCAGTTCAGTTGCGCGCGCTTCAACTACGGCTCTCTGGAAAAAAATCTCAATTCAGGAAAAATCAAGAGGATTCTGAAAGGGCCGTGTGAAATTACAGGGAGGAATCCACTATTCAACAAGAAATGCAGCCTTCAGCGTCAAATTCATGAACATTGTTATATTCAAC